CTAGAGATCCTATATGGAGAGATGGGCCAATGTCCGGCATGATGTTGTGAAACCGGAAATCACATGATCTTGGAAATGCGCGCTAATATATCAACGCCAATTTCGAAACATCACGTAACACTACTTGTTTATTATAACTTTGTTAACTCAAAGTTGTAATGAATAATTATTAGAGAAAGTTTATTTTTCGTAAATATAGAATTGTGGATAAAACAGACAAAATAGACAAAAACGTGCAAAACGTATTAAATTCGAATAAAAAAGTTGCTTTCCATTTACACACAGTGATACGAAATCTGAAGTGATATGAATATTTTATATTTAAACAATGACTTTACTACTTATTTATTTGGTGAAAACTTATCGCATAATAACACAGATTTCTAACCTCATATTTAATGTGAGTTAACAAGATTTAATAAATCATACGATCTCGAGTTTGTGCAGATTGTTGGCAAAAAGTCAATTGCCAGAATGAAAAAAAAAAACAATTTTAGGTTAATTTACATATAAAATGTATGTATGTATTTATAAATGAATTTTTATATATATTTATATATATATATTTTTTCCAAAAGTTCTAGTGATACATTTTTGATGATTTTAAACTTACTTACTGTAAAAGAGACTCGTCTAAGTTAATTTTTGTCTCTGACAATACTTCTTATAATCATAAGCAGACGACGCTCCTCTCACTCTCACATTCGCTTCTTTCACTTTCACATCCGGTTTCACAACATCATGGCAGAGCCAATCACGGATCAGTCGGCATTGGCCCATCTCTCCATATAGGATCTCTACACGGAACTCATCGACTCGCGTAAAGATACACGTGCGGTCTCGCGCTTTGCGTTCACTTGGCGCGAGACACTACCGTGTCTCTTGATATGTATAAAATTTTTATATAAAAATAATAAGGTACGTATAGTAGAAAGTATTAAAAAGGTATAGAAGTATTAAAGCTGAAGTTGAACTTCCAAAGTATAGGAAATATAGGAAGTATAGGAAAGTATAGGAAAAAAAAGTATAGGAAGACAAAGAAAATACTGTACGATATGTAATGTATATTATAATATTTCCACAGTTTTTCGTGTATGTTTCTTTTCAAGAGCAGGAGTTGGAAAGAAACATCTCATCGAATACCATGTTCTGACTTGCAAATGCAGCAAGACCGCACCATTATAAAATTGCAACTTTTAATTTGTAAATTAATGTATGTACAATAATCCGCTGCAATCCGTCGAAGCTCTCGTTATCATTCTCACAATCAGTCAACTTAATACTCTCGGATATCTATCTTCGTTGCTCTTGACTACTCCCCGACCTGCCGCGATGACCAATCAATTCATTACTAGAAAAGAAGAGAACTACTCCGCGACTAGGGATCCTACTGAGGATCCCTACTCCGCGACTATTTCTCTCTCTTTCTATCAAGTCTTCAGCTTCTCTCGTATGAACGCTCAGTCTATCTTATAAGTCTATGGACACAACTCTTTTATAGGACTCTAGCAGTGTGAATCCAGCATATGAATACCGGCCATAGTACCCTATAATCTCTGTTAAGAGGGTCTCTACCGCTGGTTAAACTTTCCAATCTTGTAAAATTTATAATCATTGATTAATTTGAGGTTAAGTTACTATTATCAACAATAACAAACTCCGCGTGAATATTAATACTTTTAATACAGTGTTTTATGTAACGGTTTGTGGTATTAAACAATGTTAAAAATGAACAATCAATTAAAAAGGTATCTCTTTTGGTTTGCCCACGAGCATGTTGACTTCCGATTACCTGTGAGTAGTTTTTTTTATCATGAAATTTAATAATTATATATATTATATAGAGAATGATTTTTTTTAAATTGATAACTAAAGTGATCTACTCTATATTTGACAATGTATCAAATTTTTTTAAATCTACGTTTTATATTCAAGAGAAATAAATATTTCTTTAATATTATTTTGTTCAAGAATTTATATTTAACTGTACAACAATATAGACTACAAGATTTTTGTTTTAATCAATTTTACATAGAAAAGGAAATGTATTGTTATTTTTCTATATATTTATTTTTATATCCACTGCTTTCAAAAATGTTATATATTTATATTTTGGAAGAAAAATTATTTCTGAACTTTTATAGTAAATTTGTTTCAAAGATGGTTCTATAAATGTGTATTTTATAAATATAAAATTGAGTATTATTTTTTTATACTACTCCAGCTGTATTTTCTAGGAAATGGAATCTATATTTGACATGTTTAATATTAAGCCATATACATTGACAAGACTAGAGGAACATGTAAGGAAGTATGAAAATTATTAAGTATATATGATGGTATATATATTTTTCTAACAATAAAAAAAAAAATATATATATATATCTGTGGAACATCCATTGGAACAGTTTTAGAATTTCTTTTTAAGACGTGTTTTTTAATACAATTTATATTGTAACAGCAGTAATTGTAAAATAATTTTACAAATGAGAAATATGAGTTGATTTATAGAAATGTTATTATTATTTAAAAAAAACATTAAACTGTGTATTTTAAACTTGTATAAACTTTATGCAACTTTTATGGAAAGATAAAATTTTAATGATAATTAGTAAATGAAAATGTTATTAACATATATTGAAACAAATAATGTATAGTATAGTTTGAGCAGAGAAATAAATTTATCAAATATAAGAGAAATAAATAGAAATAAATAGAGAAATAAATAAAAAGAAATAGATAAATAAATAAAAAGAAATAGATAAAATAAAATTTATCAAATTTTTTAGCCTTACTGGATTGTGGATTTATCTGATGAAAATTTAGTGCATCAAATTGCAAGTAGGGCAGTCTCGTTGCGCTTCTGTTTAGAGCTTTGGGCACAAGCTAAACAAAACGAAGAATTACATAATTCTTTAAAAGCTTATTCAGCTAAAAATTCAGAGCCTTTCGCTAGAGATAAAAAAAAATCGTTTAAGATTGTAGTGGAAACTTTCTGTAAACACTTTTCACAACGTGAGAAAATCAATAAAATCGAAGTAAGTAAATATTTCTCAATTACTATGACAAGAGAGAGAGAGAGAGAGAGAGAGAGAGAGAGAGAGAGAGAGAGAGAGAGAGA